CCCCAAAACCCCAAAACCCCAAAACCCCGAGTAGTTGAAATAGAGGATTTTTTTTAAGTTTAGGATCGAAACAAATCTATGAGTAAATATGAATTATCATCATATAAATGATAGAGCTCTAACTACTGCTGATCATTCATTGGTTGTTTTGCTACAGTTATCTCGCACTAACTCCTTGTAATGGACTCATATAACCCTTCTGTCTGTTGCCGAGAAGACTTGATCTGTTCATTTGAGGGGAAGCTCCGACATCGCAGTCGTTGATTCCAAGAACTTCTCCTCCCTTTCCACTCTCTTTTTATTTCTTAGCTTTTTCCTCTTATGCTGCCATCTGATTCAATCTCTTTCTTTTTTTCATATCTAGAGCGCTATCAGTGGGGCTTGAAGCCTAAAATTATGAATTCTGAAGTTACTTACTTGATTTAAGAAATCGATATCGGCTTAGGTTGGTTCATTTTATTCTTTAAAATCATCAACGGCACCTAGCTAAACGTACTTAAGTACGGCTTCCTTAAGTTCGGACTCTTCATCAACAACATCAAAAATAGACATAAGAGTGGCATCATCGTTGAAAACCATATCTACGAGGTAGTTATTGCAAATGTTTGTAGATAATACTTACCCTTGAGCTTTTCTCTTTCCTCGTCATTGATTTTGTTCTCCTGATATAGCTTTGAGATGATAACCAAGCCGAGTGCTGAATTTTAACTTTCCATTTTGCAAATTATATTATATTTTTATAAGTATTTAAATTCTAAGATATACAACAACAACAAACAAACATTCACCAGCAGTAATAAGAAAATACTATCTATTTCACTTTTAAATAGGAGTCTCTCATCTATTCGGAGGGACGCTTCTCTTTACAGCTCCTCCAGCAACGACTGCCTTTTTCTTTACTACTAGTTTGCCTTCTGTGCCTGGTCCTCCTGCTGCATTAAGCTTTTGACTTTCAAATCTCTTTGCTCTTTCAATTTCCTTTTTGTATTATTCAAGCTCCTCATCTTTTTATTGCCTCATTGCATCAACTTTTTCTTCTGAGTATTTTTTCATGTCACCAAGTTGGACTCCTTGCTAGTTTTGATTTGCTTTTGGAAACTATAGCTCTATTATGTCTTGCCATAATTTTTCAAAGCTTGTTTTGCCCCTCATACCTGCACCCTATATTCATTTAGATAAGAAATCATGTGGATTAATTTAATATTACTTCGGGTTCCCCTATGTTTGAGAAGTTATCAGTTCCAGCGTATATATTGAGAGCTTAATTATGATCTTTATCCACTTTAGTCTGCAGGTTATTGTCAAAAACATGTCTTGCAATCATAGCCTTGTATAACTAAGTGGGTATTTTCTCTTTAACACTTGCAAATACCAAGTCACATCCATTTTAATGGCATATATACCTCAATGCTAAACAAAGCTGCTTTTTCTTAACAGACTCATATTGATTAGCGAATATATCGAACTTTGAGCAGAGCACTATAATAGGTACCAAAGTAATATTGATCTTATTTCTATCATCGTGCTTTTCATATTTCTCAGAAGCTCTTTATTGCATCTAATCAAATACTCTTGGCACATTCTTTTATAACTCCTCTAATGCTTTTTAAGAGTGTTCTCTGACAACAGTTATCCAATATTAAAGTGAATCAATTGCACCTCCTGGGGCAGATAAATCTAAAACAATACAAACTGCAGTGCTAGATATACTGAAAGCAGTTAGTGGTGCTGCCAATAGTGCTGATAAGGTTCTACCTCCCCCTATAGAATAGTGTTAAATTTATTCTTTTGATTGTGGATGAGTTGTATATAATTGAAGAAATCGAAATGATTTTCATACCTAATTCATAGATGTTAACCTTTTGTTTTTTATCGTCTTTTGTTCTAGTTCCATAACGGAAATCCAGTGCTGTAGTTTCCTTCATGTCATCTTTTACTGGGTCATCAAGAAATTTTGCAATTAAAGAACTCTTGCCTGATTGTTTTTCACCTACGAACACAACTGTTTTCTCCTGAGAAATACCTAAACACAATAATTGATAAAGTATCAGGAGTATACTCATCTGTTCCTAGATCTTTTAAGAAGCGAGGATCCAGAGGTCATTGCCTAAAGATTGATTTGCCATTTTCTGAAGTTCTTGCTATTAAAGGAAAGATGGATCATTGGGGTTTTGTTAGCCGTTGACTTCTACAAAGCCATTTCGATGCAATGCCTCCATAACTCTTACTAATTCAAATTTATAAATATAATCAAATCTAATTAATTCAATCACTTCGGGGTTTTGGGGTTTTGGGGTTTTGGGGAGATCGGAAG